AGAGAATGGCAGAAACACAGTATCGTCATTCGAGTGAGGACAGTTTGCAAGATCGTCTCAAAGACTACATTGAGAAACATGAGCCGAACGAGAGGGCGGGGTGGGGTGGGTGGGGGTGGGGGGGTGGGGAGGGAGCAGATAAAAATGGCTACAACTGATAATTTCTCTTCTCCAGCAAAGTCCACATCTCCAAAAGCTATGTTGGAATATTTGGAAAGCTTTGTTGTTTTTTACTTGATTCTATTTTGAGAAAATGCTGAACACATTGAGCAATGCAACTTTTGTCATGATTGATAACATAAGCAACTGACTATTTTTCAATACCGGCGTCTCTGCTGTAACAATTATTCTGTTCACCGCCGCACGTAAAATATTCGGATTGTATCCCCTTGTGGGGAGCTGGACAATAAAGATGTATCTTATTTTATCTTAACATATCTAAGATAAACTAATGACTAGAAAATAGTCCAAACGTCGCTCACTACACTCTACTTTGAACTCTGAACCTTCCTCCCTTCTTTTCCTGGGTACCTTACAACACACCAAGAGTCCATAAAATCTGCACCTTTTATAAGAGCCAAGGAGAACTCTAACTTTTATCGGTTTATCGGCTGGAAACAGAAGTACGTTCTCGATGATTATATCTGTGATGGCGTTAGAACCGCAGTTGCCACTAGAATGTATATGCTAAGTATGACGGAATAATGTTTGTGACTTGATTCGTTGCAATGAGGGTAAAAGTTAAATACTTGACACAAAGGGCTATACATAGGACACACACACACCCACACAAACACACAAACACACAAACACACAAACACACACACACACACACACAGACACACACACACACACACACACACACACACACAGAGATAGAGAGAGAGAAAGAGAGAGAGATGGAGAGAGAGAGAGAGAGAGAGAGAGAGAGAGAGAGAGAGAGACGGGAGTGTAGGCGAGGGATACAAAGCAAAAGAGAGATAGAGAGTAATGTAGAGAGAGAAAGTGTAAGAGGAAGACGAATAAAAGAGAAGCAAAATAATGACATTGTGGGCTTCTCTCCCCTTCTCATTATCCCTCTCCCCCACTCTTCCTCCTTCTCCTCCTTCTCCCACTCCGCCTCCTCCTCCTCTTCTTCTTCTTCTTCTTCTTCTTCTTCTTCTTCTTCTTCTTCTTCTTCTTCTTTTTCTTCTTCTTCTTCTTCTTCTTCTCCTTCTTCTTCTTCTTCTTCTTCTTCTTCTTCAAACTGTACGTGGTAACAGATATCGGCATACACACATCAACAATGATTCCACCCCTGCCAAAATAAAACGAGGCACCAGTACTTTCCCCGAATCTAATCTGTATTGACGACAACAGGACAAAACAGAGAAAATTGCGCTGGTGAGTGCCACTATAAGTTACCCCACACCCACTTAAAATCTGGAAAAACAGGACATGATGACGTCAGAGAATTCTTCTGAGCCGGGAGACACCAAATATCTGGACTGAGGCACATACTTCTCTCAATAACAACAATAATAATCCATGCCCTTACCCAGGAGAGGAGTGAAGAGGTTTGCACAGTGTGTGGACAATAGTGATCGCTTAACTGACCGGTGGTCAAGCCCAGGTCGCAAAAGCTTCAGAGAATAACAATTAGGCCCAATGAGCTCGTCAAAGCGGTTGACTTTGCGAGAGCCAATGGCCTAAGGTATAGCAGAGAGAAAGGTGCCTTGTTTCAAGTACGTCTGGGGCCGGGATAATAAAGTTTCCTCTCTCTCTTTCTCTCTCTCTCTCTCTCTTTCTTTCTCTCTCTCTCTCTCTCTCTCTTTCTCTCTCTCTCTCTCTCTCTCTGTCTCTCTCTCTCTCCCTTTCTCTCTATTTCTCTCCGCCTCTCTGTTTCTCTCTCTCTCTCTTGCTCTTTAACTCCGCTTCTCACTTTTTCTCTTCACCACCCAACCCCCTCTTTCAATCTCTTTTTTCTCTCTTCAAATCTCATATACTTTCGCATGCTGGACCTGTATTCCTGTCTTTTTCTCTCTGTCCATCTGTTTACATACTCCCGCCCTTCTTCCTTCTGAGTACACGGCGCCAGCTGTCGTGTCAGTCTGCCGGCCCCATGCTTTTCCCCGCTCTCCACCACCACCCCTGTCTACACAATCTGTTTGTGAACGAAATTCAAAATTTCAGCGATGATTGATGTCATGTCATGCCTTGTCTCGCATGTACATGTGGCACATGTTGGTTCATATAGAAAGACGAGATACCCCCCTTGGAGAAAGTGTACAGACACAAAGACAAGTGGCTGTTCAACTATTGTTTACTCCAAGACTTAAGCAGGCTCGAAGCTGTCCTCGCCTGGCCTCACGAGTCTGTGTCCACTATCAGCCGTGATGAATGGGCACGGAGGTATGTAACCAGTATGAGGAAGGTGGAGGGTTTCTCTTGACCACGATGACGTTGTTACGTCAAATGAAAGGTTATTATGTTTCTATCGAAACAGGCATAACTCAGAGGGGGAATATCTCAGCTGGGATTTCTTTCGGGTTTTTTTAACTGGGTTTTTTATTATTGTTTCTGTGTTGTTTTTTCTGATCTTCTTTTTTGGAAGCACAAAATGATGGGAGGAGATTAGTCTGATGGTATTATTCTGCCTTCGGGGGAGGGAAGGCCTTAGTTGGAATCCCCAAATATGGCATTCTTTAACTTGGACTGTTTTGAGGAGATTATAAGTCTCTCCGCAAAGGTGCCTCGTCTCAAGTGCATCTGGAGACACGATAATAAAACACATTCATTCTCTCTCTCTCTCTTTTTCTCTCTCTCCCTCTCTCTCTCTCTCTCTCTCTCTCTCTCTCTCTCTCTCTCTCTCTCTCTC